AGAAAAACTGTCCCTTGCGTTTTGGTTGAAGAACGTCAATTGCTAAAAGTCTGCGGGTGGGTCCAAAATGAAACTGGCCGGGACGTGCTTCTCATCGCCTTGTTGCTCTGAGAGCCTAAGCTTTCGAGCTGCAGCGACCTCACTTCAGCGTCAAAGCAGGCTTCGCTTCTTTCGCTAAGTGCAAAAGCCCAAGCTGTCAGAGGCCTAAACGACCTCTGCTTGGTTAAGCGTCAAGGTCAAGGTCCCTTCACTAATTGACTTCAGACACCAGACTGTGGGGGGGAAAGCGTGCCAGCTGCGTATGACAACGCCCAGGCACTGCCAAGCAGGTTCGTTGGCCAAGGCTCACATTTTTCCTCCTTGGCCCCCTGCACTCTTCCCACATTACAGCAAAAGAAAGGGAGCTACAGCCACCAATGCGTACTTGTACGTTGACCACTGAGCACCAATTGCGTGTGACTGCGAGGTCCAACCGACATGCCGATAGCACAGGAGATTCCAGAAAGTGTCACCTGACTCAATCCGCAGCGGAATTCTCTTAGGAACAGGGGTGGGCACACAGAGGTACCTCAACATGAAGTCAGCTGGCGGCGACTACGACGGTGCAACCCAAGTAGAGCGGGGAGTGCCCTGAGCACCCTGAGCACCCGACTGGCCCTGATGCGAACCTCCTTGGACACTCTGAGCACCAACGCGAGGTAACTCACGACGAGGAAACTCTGCTTCAAGTGTTTTTAAGGGTTTCATTTTTCCAAGCGAAAAGAAACAGTGCACACCCTAAACCCAGCAAGGGTTAGACAAGCAGTTGGCTGCCTCATGTCTGATTCTGCACTCGCATGTCACCTGCACCATCTGCGGGCACAAATCAATTGTGTGTCACAATGTGTCATGTTCCATCTGGCCCCAAAAAGAAGAAACTCTTGTCCAGTTTGGCTTACCCGAGCAAGGTTTTGGAAAACCTGCCCCCACTCAGGAGTGAGTCTCTTGGAAGTACCCGTCCACCAGCTGCGTGCCCGGAATCATATGTAACCGAGCCCACCTCACATCCGGATAACACCCGGAGGCTCGCTGTCAATGATGCGACGTCGATACCGAAGGAGAACTTGATAAACCAGGTCCCATTGTAACACCTTCGGGGTGGTGAAATGCATCACCCAGCAGGTTGCGCACAAAACTGCTCAAGCAAGGGGCAACCCAGAGTTGAGGGTGTTGAACAAGGGGCTCAACAACCTGATGCCGAAAGTCTTGGCCCATGCTCCTGGTCACCATATTATTGATTTGCCGAATGGGGCACCACATTGCCGTCAGTCATGGTCGCCCGATGTGCCGCAATAGACAGAAAACACCAATTTAGGCAGGGGGAAATTCCTAAAAAGGGCAAAAGGACAGCCCCCCCCATGTTGACACGAAAACAACCGCCTTTTCGGTTGGCCAGGCTCCGAGCGGAGGCGCGGGATTGGGGGTGGCGCGGGATGGGCTGCCCTGCTTGGGGCCGGAGCCATGAAGGCTAGGGAGAATCCCCCGGTCGCCTTCTTAATTCCTGAAGCATGGTTCTGGGTCCATTCTCATGGCTTTGAGTAGACTCATATGTTCATCCACCCCAGGTTTTTTTGCCGGGTGTCCCTGACAAAACGTAGAATTTCATGACTTCGGGGTATTTTTTGAAATGACCCATTTCAAATGGGTGTGTTTTTTTGAGAAGGCGCCCTTAGCACTGGTAAAGGACGGCCACAAACACCATCATGTTTGTTTGGGGTCGTCCTGTGACACACCCACATGGATATTGACTCAACCGGTGCCTTGGCTGGTGAGGATCTCTCCTGGATGGTTTTGGCCAGTTTGTATTCAAGTTGACTCATGGGCCTTTGGACCCCAACAGGGGCAGCAAAAAGGCCCCGTGGTAAGCTTTCGGAGAGGTAAAAACAAAAAGAAAAAACGACTTCTCCCTCAACAGATGGCGCGGCAACCGTCGGCATTCAAGGTTCATCGCTTTGCACTTTGTGGATGGCATTCCAAAGAGCCATCCATTTCGCAGCTGGACGTGGGAACGGCCTTTGCGTATTCCTACATGGCCGTACGCCATTGTCCACATCGTAGATGAGCTGACGCACGGAAGGATTCGTCCAGAACCGTTGTGGTTTCATCAGCAATGAACCACAAAAACAAACTCCGAACCATTCCCGCGTGGTGTTTTGGCCCTCTTGGTACCAAACACGGAAGGTGACGGGAAAAAGTGTTGCAAGACATACCATCGTCTGAACAAGACTCCTCAGTGCAGCATAATGCAGCAGGGCTCCGCTGAGCGAATGACCAGACCTCAATCCAAGCCACTCTAAGGACTGCACGACGTCCTGGAGCAAGTTGCCCTGGCACACACCTTTGGCGACACTCCTGTAACATGGAGCCCACCGGAGGGTCCCTTTAAGAGGAAGATGGTCTTTCAAGACCCCCCCAAGTCAGGTTCCATAGTGGACGCGATGTTACCCAAAAACATCAGGGTTCGCGCTTCGGTGCACACGACGTTTGTACACATGATCCAGGTAAAAACCTGTGGCACGCGAAGGAGCATGTGTTCGGCTTGTGTGCCTTTGCAGCAAGCTCATAGCCGAGTTCACAAGATGATAGCGCAGTCTCTTTTGACCCACCGCACATCCCGCGGGCACCCTAACTTTTGCACCGGATGGTTTTTGCCCTTCAAAGCCTCAGTCCCTGAGTTCCGTTTCGGACTTTAGAGGCACTTTTTGGGTTTGGTTGCCATTTTGGCACTCAAACAGTTGGGTTGCTTTGTGATGACCACGCTACTCGTTCGGAAGTGAGAAACAGCCCTGCGATCCAAGAAAGGATTGGCAGGCCGCCGACCGCCGGATGGCAAAGTCCAATCCTTCCTGGAGAGGTTGGGTACCAAACCTGCCTGGGGACCAAGTGCAGAGCGTTGTCGTATCCTCTCCCTGCCTTCGGAAGCAAACGGGGTTCCGTGTGTCTCGAAATGGGGCTCGGAAGCTCAGCGAGTGGTTTCAAGCATTTCGAGGGAAATGAGGAAGCCCAGAGGGTGCTTTGCCTTTTTCCTACACCGCGAGGGTTCCCTAAAAAGACGAAGCCCGAGATCTCTGGTTCCATGTCAAACTCCCGATTTGAAGAGAGACATGGAAGCACTAACACAACCACGCGGGCTTGATGAATCATGAGGTCAGCATGAGCCCGCACGAAGCAGTCACTGAAAGCACTTATGATCATTGGGAAACGTGGGGGGAAAAGCCACTGCTTCGAATGCGGATTTGCAGAGAATTATACATTGCAGAAGGCATACATATCGATTAAAACACAAGCTGACACAACGCAGCATGACTTGGACTCTGTGCATCATAGCCGAAGTTGATACAAGGTTGCAGATATATCCCCTTAAACCATCACGTCACCGACGCGAAACTCAAACAAAATCAAGTTTAGGCCGGACATTGATGTCTAAACCATCCTGAAAGCGAAGCGTTTGAGCCACGGACAGTCAACACAAGCTGCTTCCCTGTCATGAGGTCGAGTCCTGCTAATTTGGGTGTTGTAAATGAGATTTCATTAGTAGTACACAGTAATCGTTCAACATGAGAGTACTAGATTTACATTTGGGAGTGACAGGAACGAGCCAATCGATGAATCCAGAACGTACTACGTATTACTTGTGTTTTGTTCAGTCATATCTCATGTATATCTCAATGGATGTGGGTGTTTCCGGAAAAAAAAAGAGGACTGAACATGACTTGGTTCCTTTTGGTTCCACTTTATAGTTTTCACAAAGGGAGGTCCCCCAATTTCCGACACACCCACACATTATGTTGCTTAACTGCAACGGCTGCGTCAAGTCGCAACAAGAACCTCATGATGAATAGGGGGTGTCCCATCTTAGATGGGCTCCTTGACTTTTTGGTGTCTGCGTTTCCCCTTGGTCAGAAGGAGCTTGTCAGCATGTGCAGCTCGCCAAATCCACGAGCAGCCACGTTGCATTCAGGGCCGCTGGATCCGGTCAGTCCTGGCGAGTCCGTTTCTCCCACTTGCTTCCGTTTGCTTGAAAATATGTTTTTCCTATTTTGGATTTGAACGGAATCTATCACTACTGGGACTATGTTCTTTCCAAGGGCGCTTAAAAAAATGGAAGCTTGGAAGGACCAACCGGGGAAGTATCAGAATCGCTGTTCATGCAAATCAACTTGCCAGAAATGCGGGCGGACATTGGGTCGCTGGCAATGTTCAGGGCGTCAACCGTGGAAACGCCGGTTCGCTTGCCAGAAGTCAGGACAATCCTCCGCCAGTGTTGGGCACCCAGATGCAATTAGTTTGAGTTTGCGACTTCGTAGGTCCAAGGCGGCGATGTGTGTGTGTGTGTGTGTTTCTTCTTGTCCAAATCGGGCCTATTTCAGGCAACCATGGTAACCCTTGCATTTTGTGGTTTGGATTGGTGGTTTGGACGGTAGGGGGTACCTTCCTCATTCGGTTTCCAAAGGTACTGGGTTCAAATCCTTAGTTCCCACCGATCCAACCCACCAATGGGAGGGAAGCTGATTAGCCATTCGCTGTCCCACTTTCGAGCCATGGCCCCATATGGTATTCGGTCTAAATTGTTGGTGGTCTATGGTTCACTCAGGAAGGACATGGGGGTCACTAAAATGTCCATGTCCTTTGGGAAAGACCTGCATAATTTTGACTGTGACTCACAGGTCGTGTTTCTTTGCAGGCCTTCGTCCAAGTGAATCATACAAGTTCCCAAAAACATGTTCCAGGGCTTGCTTTCGGTGTTCCCAGTTGAGGGTGGCTTGGGTCGGATCGACTATTCCGACTGACTTGTCCTTTCTGAAGGGTTTTATGACCTGATTCATGGGTGTGTGTGTGTGTGATTGTGATTGTGATTGTGTTTGTGTTTGTGTTTGTTCGTGTGTTTTTGCTGAGGGTACCCTTTGCTGGCGAGTCTAAAGGGAAAGCCACAAAGCCAACCACCATTTTCCTTGGCGGTTCCCAGCCGTCCCCTTAGGTTTTTAGGGTTTGGGTGGGGTTCCATTGAACCCACAAAAACAATAACTTCTAGAAGGCGTGAGGAGAGCCCGGTTTCGCGGTTTTTGACACATACCCTTATGAAGATTACTGATTATTTGATTCCACCCGGATGGTTTGTTTTCTCGTTTTCGCAGTTGAGGGTTTGTTTGCGGCCATGCCCAAATCGGAACATATGCTTTTCTCAATTTGCTTTTCTACGGTACCTTGTGAGGCGGGTCAAAATAACATATCCAGTCTACGGTCAGAGTGCAGGGACATGGGACTTTTGTAGATTCGCACAAGGACTCACTCATTTTCCCATGTTGGTGGCTCGTCTTTTTTGAGTTGGTACCCTTTCCAGGGCGGCTTTAAAGGGAAACCTAAAGGGACACCGCAGCCGTTTTGGGGGGTCCCAAGCACCGAACCGGGTCCTTGAGCTACACCCAGCTGGGTCAAAGTATCACCAGGACTGCCAGGGCAAGCCTTTTTTTCGGGTTGATCCATACCGTCCGGCCCCTAAAATGACCCGTTTGCATCTCGAGAGCTGAGGCGGAAGACAGATTGGTGGTCATCCGGGTGGGACAGGGCTGAGGGTTCAAACTGAAAGGGGACTCGAAAGGAAGGGGCGCACATTGGGGGTTGATCGAAAGGTTTATAAAACAGGGGATGACCATTGGTTGGGAAACCACTAAAAAGATGATATGGGAAAAGTTACCCATGGTCATTTGAGGGCTGAACAGAATATTGCTCAACCCCCGCCTGAGCAAAGATACCTTGCCAGGATATTGACTCTGCGACATAGTCTTGAATGGTCTCTTTGACGTCAGTTTTACCCTTTTACCAAGGGTTTTTCCGACTACACCCTGGTTTTGTGGGGTCCATCATTTTAAGACAACCCCACGTTAGGTGTCTCATGTAATATACACTCGTTTAACAGCCAGGTGTTGATGCCATTGGATGCTTGTCTGCCTGACAGCGGTCAGCAAACCAGCGCACGCCAGATTCTTTCATCCGCTCAGCACCTTTCATGAATGCTCCCCAGAGTTTTTGGTTTCTTGAATACTGGGTTCAGAGTAACAGCCTACTAACAGCTGGCATCCGGAGCAACAAGCGCCCACTGCCACGCTGGGTCCTTGGGTCTTCCGCGAAGCCTCTGTCTCCAAAGATGCCAATCGGGGCGGGTGTGGTACGTGCCATCATTTGTTCATGAGGCTCCCCCGTGACATAGCTTCATGGCGTTGCTTGCTAGCTTTTCTTCAGCCACGGCACGAGCAACTGCAGCGTTTCAGAAGTCGCCAGACGTGCGGTCGCATCGCCAACTCAGACTTCACTGTTCTTGTGTTAAGATGCAAACTTATGGGAGCCTTTTGTCACCCCAAGAATGTGTATTTGCTAAGGCTTGTGTTTTATTACAGTGGTGGTTTTTGTTGCGGCAGGGTGTTTTCGTTTTCTGGTTTTCTGGTTCTGTTCGTTTTTAGTGGGCTGCCAAAAATGTCCGTCGGTGGCAATCCCCTGCCAAGAATTGGGAAGCAGATGTCGGAGGCCGCTTGTGCCGCGCAGGTGGGACTGGTCTGAGTCGCGGAGCTGGTCCGAATCTGACTGGTCAGACAAGGACTGGTCGCGCGGATGGTGGCAAGGCCAGGCCCTTGCCCATGGAAGGTGGCCACAAGGCAAAAATGGCAAGACTCGTACCCCCACAAACCTGTACTAGGGGGGGCGGGGTGTAGGTGGGGGAGATGATCCTTTTATGCGGAACCCTTTTTCCAGTGGAAGTCAGGAAGTGTATTTGTTCTTGGCCATCTCAGGATGATTGGTTTCGTCTTCCAGAACCCTCCAATTGTCAGAGGGTGGTCAGGGTGAACTTCGGTGCCCCTTTTGGCATTCATGAATGGAAACAAGGCTACAACCAACCACCAACCGACCAACCTGCCAAGCAACAAGCCAGCCAGCGAACCACGCCCAACCATTTTTTTGAAAGCCAGCCAACCACAAAAAACCACAGGGTACCTCAGATGCTTTTGGTTTTGGTCCCCCCTTAGCCCCGGCAGGCGATCAGTGGAAGGAGTCGAATCACTGGGACCAGGACCAATCGCTTGGCGATCGCTCACCGGCGAGCCCGCACGACGCAAAGCGGTTTTTTGGGACTCGAGGTTTTTTTCGGGACCCCCGGTTTTTATGTTGGCCCGCCTTTGGCTCACAAAGAGGGGTCCTTAGATTTTGACAACCCCAGGGCGGTGAGGCATTGTGCCCTGCGAGTTGGTGATTTGGCGCAGGTTTTCGGGGGGGCCAACTGGGTGGTTCCTTTTGGTTGGCAAAGGGAACCCAAAAGGGAAACCACCTAGCATTCCAATTCCTATATTGAGACAAACCCAACTTGCGCAGTGCCCATCTGGGGAAAGTGCAGATTTCCACTTGAATCTTTCCGGAATGTCATTCCGCCCATGAAGCTCCATGACAATGCCTTGGGCGTAGAAGAGCAGGTCCTGGAAGATAGATTGAATATTGATCTAAGGTGAGTGGCAAGACGGACATCCTCGTGCTTCTTACAAAATCACGCAACGCCCCCTGTTGGCCAAGTTAACAAGTGGTTCGCCATCCAACTCACTTGGGGGATGACCACCTACGGGTATCAACAACTTCACTAGCTCCCAAAAGTACGCTTTTCCCCCACGCCCTAGCTGTTCTTCCCACTGCCCCGGTTTTCCAAGCCGTTCAAAATCCAATGAGGTAGCAGGCCGACAAGCGTAATGTTGGCACTTGATTAATAAAGGGCCCCCCCCCTCTGAACAATGGAGGCGCCAAAACAATGGGGGTGCACTTTTGGGACGTCCAAACAATGGAGGGTGTTGGGGCCCAATTCTACTTTAGTATTGCAGCCACTTCCTTTTTGCAGTTCTACTTTAGTATTGCAGCCACTTCCTTTTTGCAATTCTACTTTAGTATTGCAGCCACTTCCTTTAGTATTGCAGCCACTTCTTTTTTGCGATTCTACTTTAGTATTGAGCAACCAATTGAAAGGGGAATGCTTTTAAGCAAGTGGGCCACCAATTGAAAGGGGATGCTTTTAAGCAAGTGGGCCACCAATTGAAAGGGGAATGCTGTTGAGCAAAGCAAGTGATAGTTTATTTTCTGGGAGGGGGGGCTGGGGGCTTGCCACTATTGTGGTCCCCTAAAACAATCACATTATTGTGGTTCTGTGGGGTCTGTGAGGGGCACCCTTGTCCTGATTGTTTTTTTTTGCAATTTTTTAGCACGGTTTAATAAAGAGTTTGCAGTTTCAGGGCTGGGGATGGTTTTCAAATTTCAGAGTTTCAGCTGGCTTTGGGTTCTGTGGTTGAGCAACCAATTGAAAGGGGAATGCTTTTAAGCAAGTGGGCCACCAATTGAAAGGGGATGCTTTTAAGCAAGTGGGCCACCAATTGAAAGGGGAATGCTTTTGAGCAAAGCAAGTGATAGTTTATTTTCTGGGAGGGGGGCTGGGGGCTTGCCACTATTGTGGTCCCCTAAAACAATCACATTATTGTGGTTCTGTGGGGTCTGTGAGGGGTACCCTTGTCCTGATTGTTTTTGGCAATTTTTTAGCACGGTTTAATAAAGAGTTTGCAGTTTCAGGGCTGGGGATGGTTTTCAATTTTCAGAGTTTCAGCTGGCTTTGGGTTCTGTGGTTGAGCAACCAATTGAAAGGGGAATGCTGTTAAGCAAGTGGGCCACCAATTGAAAGGGGATGCTTTTAAGCAAGTGGGCCACCAATTGAAAGGGGGATGTTTTTGTTTTATTATTATTATATAAATTTGCTTTGTGTTTTTTTTTTAAAATCCGCCTGGCCAAAAAAACTTTCTATTTTTCTGGTCCCCTTAAACAATGGGTGTGAACCATAATAAGGAAAAACACTTTCTATTATTCCGGTACCCTTTACTAATCGAGTGCCAACATTAGTATGAATTTACTAGGGGACCAGCTCAACAGTGTTTACGGTTGGTGGAAATCCCCACCTAAACTCAGCTGACCAAAGCAAATCGACCTGTTGAACTTTTTGCTTTCCTGTTTTGGCCCATTTTCAGTCAACACCTTTTATTTCTACCTAGGTCTCCAACATGATGTCCACCAAGTCCCCTATTGGAGGTCTTAGGAAGCCGAATTCGATAGGAGTGGGGCGCCTGGGATCACAGGTGGTCTTCAGGAGCCTTCGCTCGAGCGTTCGGTTTTGGTCGCGCAGACGGAATCCGTGAACACCCAGAAACTGTTGTGTTGGTATGTTGTTGGTTGTAGTTGTTTTTTCCCCCCCGAATGCGTAGCAGAAGGGCTCCCGTTTAGAGGTCGGGGGTCTGGGGGTTAGGACGTGACCAGGAGTCGTTGAATTTACGTCCCCAAACGTGCGCAAGCGTTTGCAAGCGTTCGTATGTGTTCGCGAGTGTCGCGCTTGCAGCTCCAGTGGGGAAGGCGAAACACGTGCCATTTAGATGACTTGAAGCGTGTCATTGTTCGTGCCCCTGTGCGGGAATCGTAGCTTCTCAAGCTTGACATGTCGTTTCGCTGCGCAGGCGCAGTGTTTTGGAAGGCTGCGTGTTCTCGTTGCCGTGCCAGTGGAATTTGCGATCCAGGGGTGGTCGTTTTGAGGTGTCCTGCTTGGCAGGCGCGTGATAGTGTTTGCGCCGGCGCCGTTTTCGTTGGCCCTGTCGTACAATCGGCTCGTTTTGGCGACCCTGAAGCGTGTCAAAATTGGTCGAAATCATTCTGGCGCTGCAGTCCCGCGCTATTTTTGCGCATGCGATGCAGGGTGTCAAATTCTGATTTCGTGGCAGGCGCAGCATTTTGCGCCTTTTGCATGTCGCTGTAACGCGATGTTTCGTGACAGGCGCAACACTTTAGAGCTTTTCGCGCAGATTTCGTGGCAGGCGCAGCACTTTAGAGCTTTTCGTGCAGATTTCGTGGCAGGCGCAGTACTTTCGAGCTTGCGCGCAGATTTCGTGGCAGGCCCAGCACTTTAGAGCTTTTCGTGCAGATTTCGTGGCAGGCGCAGTACTTTCGAGCTTGCGCGCCGATGTCGTGGCAGGCGCAGCGCTTTGGGTGGGTCGAATTGCTCTCGCTGCGGCGCGGTGCACATGTTGAAAATACAAAATGAACCCTCTGCGCACTTTGGGTGGGTCGAATCGCTCTCGCTGTGGCGCGGTGCACATTTTGAGAACGCGAAGTGAACCCTCTGCGCACTTTGGGTGGGTCGAATCGCTCTCGCCGTGGCGCGTGCGCATTTTGAGATCACAAAGCGAACCGTCTGCGCACTTTGGGTGGGTCGAATCGATCTCGCTGTGGCGCGGTGCACATGTTGAGATCGCACAGTGAACCCTCTGCGTGCTTTCGGTGGGCTGAATCGCTTTCGCAGGGCGCGGAAGTCGTGACGAAACACGTGAGGGTGTGACACGAAACGCGAGTAGGGTCGTGGCTCGAGACATGAGACAGACCACGAAAGGCAGGACGGGAGATGTGACGGAGTTGTGACGCGAGGTGCGTCGAGGCACATGATGAGAGATGTGTTGGAAGTGATGACGAGAGACGGGAGCAGAGTTGTTGCGACAGACGTCGCAAAGCACGTGACCAAAGACGTGACAACAGACGTGGCCAGAGGTGTGACGATGGATGTGAGAAGAGGAAAGCCGTGACGAGAGACGCGACGAGAGATGCGACAAGATCCGGACGAGGATCGTGACGCGAGAGGCTACCAGAGACGGGATGGCAAATACGAGAAGAGACGTTTGAGAAGAGACGCTGCGAGGGTCGTGACAAGAGAAGTGACCAGAGACGTGACGCGAGGGGTGACCGCACGCGACAGGATCTCCAAGAAAGACGCGACGGGAGATGGACGTAGTCGTGACGAGAGGCGCGTCGAGACACGTTATGAAAGATAAGATGAAAGTCATAACGAGAGACGTGGCCAGAGTTGCTACGACAGACGTGACAAAGGACGTGACCAAAAACGTGACCAGAGGCGTGACGATGGATGTGAGGGATGTGACAAGAGACGCGCGAGGAGAGTCGCGACGAGACGCGAGACAAGGCGTGACCAGAGACGCGACGAGAGATGCGACAAGAGACGTGACGAGGATCGTGACGCGAGAGGTTACCAGAGACGGGACGGCAAATATGACAAGAGACGTTTGAGAAAAGACGTGGCGAGGGTCGTGACAAGAGAGGTGACCAGAGACGTGACGCGAGGGGTGACGACGCTCGCGACAGGATCTCCAAGAAAGACGTGACGGGAGATGCTACGTAGTCGTGACGAGAGTCGAGAGGCGTGTTGAGACACATGATGAAAGATAAGATGACAGTCATGACAAGAGACGTGGCCAGAGTTGTTACGACAGACGTGGCAAAGGACGTGACCAAAGACGTGACCAGAGGCATGACGATGGATGTGATGGATGTGACAAGAGACGTGCGAGGAGAGTCGCGACGAGACGCGAGATATGGCGTGACCATGGACGTGACGAGAGATGCGACAAGAGACGTGACGAGGGTCGTGACGCGAGAGGTTGCCAGAGACGGGACGGCAATTATGACAAGAGACGTGTGAGAAGAGACGTGGCGAGGGTCGTGACAAGAGACGTGACCAGAGACGTGACGCGAGGGGCGACGACGCACGTGACAGGAGACGTCTCCAAGAAAGACGTGATGGGAGACACTACGTAGTCGCGACGAGAGGCGCCTTGAGACACGCGATGAAAGATGCGATGATGAAAGATGGCCAGAGTTGTTACTTAGCCGGTTGGGGATTAGATATCCCTTATAAATCGCTATAAGAGTTAGCAGCGGGTTTATAAGGGTTACAAAATGTGGTTTGGGAGGTGGTGTAGGCAAGGGTTTAGCTAAAGTTTAGCTAAACCAGCTAAACCTGTTAAGGTTTTTCCTGTAAAATTCCAGCACCTGTGTGCAATTGGTGCAACAATATGCGCTTTCCTACCGCAAGCGAGACATCAAGCAAAGACGCAGCGGGCAGTCCGCGCGGCCCCAGAGACGCAGCATTTTTTTCTCCTTTCTCTTGAGCGGTTCCACAGCTCGGATCAGAGCGCCCATTTGTTTTGACATTGTTTGTTAGATTCATACTTTCAGGTTTTTTTCAGAATCTGATTTTTCAGATTTGATATCAGATTCAGATTTCACAGATTTTTTCAGAATCTGAATTTTGCAGATTTTTTCAGATTCAGATTTTTCAGATTTTTAAGAATCTGAATTTTTCAGATTTTCAGATTCAGATTTTTCAGATTTTTTAAGATTCTGACAAAATCTGAAAAATCTAAATCTGAATATTTAAGCAAAGAAGGTGATGAAGATTCAGATTTTCAGAACCCGAAAAAATCTGAAAAACCTGACTCTGAAAAAATCTGAAAAATTCAGATTCTGGAAAAAAATCTGAAAAATTCAGATTCTGAAAAAATCTGAAAAATCTGAATCTGAATATTTAAGTAAAGAAAGTGATGAAGACTCAGATTTTCAGAATCTGAACAAATCTGAAAAATCTGAAAAATCTGAATCTGAAAAAACCGGACATTCAGATTCTGAAAAAATCTGAAAAATCTGAATCTGAATATGTACGTAAAGATAGTGATGAAGATTCAGATTTTCAGAATCTGAAAAAATCTGAAGAATATGAATCTGAAAATCTGAAAAGTTCAGATTCTTAAAAATCTGAAAAATCTGAATCTGAAAAAATCTACAAAATTCAGATTCTGAAAAAATCTGTGAAATCTGAATCTTATATCAAATCTGCGCACTTGCGTCCGCAAGGCGGCTCATGCATCATACTCGGCTGCGGCTTGCGCGGGTGCCGCGCGGGCCCACGCCCGCGGCGGCATGCGCAGGGGCGAAAAAAGCCGAAAGGTAAATGATTCGGCTTCCCTTTTGCATGCTGCATGACTGTGCTCGAAAAAAGCTAAGTCTGCTAAGGGTGTTAGCCCCGAAAACAGATCCCAAAAGCTAACCCCGCTAAACCTTATAAGGGTTGCGACCATGTTTGCTCATTGTTTGGCTTAGGGTTTACAACGGGGGTTATAAAGCGTGTCATATCTCCTATAATCCTTAGATAGATTCTGGTAAACCTCAGAAACGACTTATAAACCTTATATAGGTTTGACCAACTTATCTCGTTTGCCAAGGAGATTGGCAGCCTTATAACCCAACTTAGCCGAGATACTAAACGTTTATAACCTGGTTAACATTAGCCAGCCGGCTAAGTATTAAGAGACCTGCCAAGGGACGTCTAGCTACGTGGCGATAGATGTGACAAGAAAAACGTTGTTACTTGAGACGCGACAAGGACATAGGAGAAACCTGACAAGGGGCATGACCAGAGACGTGACGTGAGACGCCACCAGAGACGTGACTATACACAAAAAAGAGGAATAGCCAGATACTCCACCTGGCGAGGAGAGACGTGACGAGATTGGACCAGAGACGTGACAAGAGATGTGGCGCGAGGGCCGACGACTCATGGTGACAAGAGACGTGACGAGAGTCGCCAAGAAAGACGTGGCGGGAAACGCGACGGAGTCATGACGACAGGCGCGGCGAGACAAGTGATAAAAGACCAGAGACGCGACTTGAGGGGTGACGACTCACATGACAAGAGACATGACGGGAGTCGCCAAGAAAGATGTGATGGGAGACGTGACAAAGTCGTGACGAGAGGCGCAGCGTGACACACGATGCAAGGTTTGACGAAAGTCATGACGAGAGACGTGGCCAGAGTTGCTACGAGAGACGTGACAATGACGTGACCCGAAGTGACCAGAGACGTGACTATAGAAACGTGACTAGAGACGCGACGCGAGATGTGACAAGAGTCCGCTTTCGTGTCCGCATTCGGGTTCGTGGCTTCTATCAGGTTTTATTGGGGGGACCTGCAAAAAGGGTCAGTTTGCTTTTGGTCTTCCTCGGAGAAAAACAAGGTCACGGCGTTGCCAATGACCATGCTGCTTTTGACCATGGCGACCAAGCACGTTTACAAAAATTCCTGCGTTTTATGAACATTTCGTTGCATCGTTGACACGCACCATGTTTATTTTGTTCCATTTTTACCATGGCTTTGACAAGAAAGGGCCAAATCGCCTGAGAATAGCAGCACTTCGCGCTGCTGGCCAACACACGCGCGTTTCTTGAGGCTGCCGGCCTCTTTTTTTTTCAAGGCAACACCTTTCAACTAGCCAAGGTACCAGTGGGTGGGTGTGTCTTTTCTTAGGCGACCCAAAAATACAGCCCGGACCTTCGATGTGCGAGTTCTCAGGATCACGCTGGGACTGGGAGGCGGGCCGGTGCGATTCGTTGACTGAGCTGGCCTTGTCTGAAGGAGGCAAACCAAGGGGAGACCACAATGAACTTGGATCCTATAGTAGCCCCATTCAAGAGGAATCCGCTTCACAGGAAAGATCTCCCATATGTTCGAAGTCAGAAATGTTCGGGTGGTAGCCCTTGCCACATCCGAGAGTGTTGTTGAAAGAATCTCACAGTGTGCAGTGACCCCTTCCATTGGAATCAAGCAGCCCCTTAAGAAGCACTCAGGTGGGACTACCCTCCAGGCGATTCCATGGAACTCCCTGGTGACGACTTGGTTCCATTTACGGAGGCCAATTGGGGGAGCTTCCATGTTAGTCTGACGGAGTTTGCTGTGAGATTTTGCAAGTTTAGGTTCTTATTCGTGCAGCCCAGGCTGACCAAGAAAAGGAGAAGGAGAAGGAAAAAGAAAAGGACAAAGAGAAGGACAAGGAGAAGGACAAGGAGAAGGTGAAGAAGGACCGGACCAGAATACTTGCGACGTCTGCTAAATGACGACAGCTGGGACTTTGTGCCACCATGCATCGAAATTCATAGTAGACTTGGCAGCTGATTCTTTGCGCTTTGCCCGCCCACAATTTGCTTGCCACGTCCCGCGGTCTTGCCATTTTGACTTGCCAGTTCCCGCTTCAACGCTTCCCACATCTCGACACACCTTCC